TCTGGGTGTCTGGTCGGGCACTTGTTCCATGCACTTGTCGATCATCCCCATGATTACCTGCTTCTGTGCTGCCGAGTAGGGAATCTGTCGAAAAAAAAAATGTGTAAAATCTTTTCTTCCCCCTGTTCAGTCATAAATATGCTGACGGACGATCTCATAGGTGCCTCCATAGCCTCTTAATCGTGGACCCCGGAGGTAAATCGAAGAATGGTTTCGGTCGGAACCTTATGCAAATCAGCAGATATGACACAAATTTCGATAGCATCCTATAGAATGAATGTAAGTCTTCGATAACGGAGGGACTAGTCTTAAATAAAGTCTCATGAGTAGTTACACGACGACGTGCATAGTCCTTTTTGACTGCCAAATTTTGGCATTCTATACAAGGCTGCCAATTTTTGGCCTCCTTGAATGCCAAATTCTGGCTTTCTTTTAAAAGAAGGCCAACTTTTGGAATTCAAAGGGGCCAAAAATTGGCAGCCTCTAAAAAGAAGGCCAAACTTTGGCATTGAAAGAGGCCAACATTTAGTAGCCTCCAAAAGACAGCCAAAATTCGGCAGTCAAAAAGGACTACCAATATTTTGGCACGCTGGGCGACCACGTTAACAGTGTGAATCAGGAACTGCCCTCGGATTTGCTGTATCTTTCACTGTATCGGCCCTAGAGGTGGATATATTTAAAACAATGGCAAGAAGTCAAGTTTTAAGACTGTTTAACAAACAGTACAATCTAAAAACTGCGCTGGTTCATTGTTTTAGCAGATGATACTTCCAGTATCACTGCTTGTACAACAGCTAAATGGGTATCGTTCACGATGGCCAAGGTCCAGTATTGTCAACAATAGTCCTTTTGTAACGATGGTCACCATGGCTCCAAAACCCTTTTAAATAATATTGTTATTAGGTGGAGCGGGGTCAGATGGGTAGCGTTGCCAATGGTCACCAAGGCCCGGCATTATTAACAATACTAAGCCACAAAGCCCAGTATTGTCAACAGTAGTGCTGGGTTCAGGCCAAGTATTGTCAACAATATTGGGCCATTACCCTTTTAAAATAATGTTATTATTAGGAGGAGTGGAGTCAGAAGGGTAGCGTTGACGATGGTCACCAAAGCCCAGTAATGTCAACAATACTGAGTTAAGGCCCAAAATTGTCAACAATACTGGGCCATTGATCAAATCAAATATTATCAATTTATCATCATTTTTTTTTTAACAATGGAATCATTTTAAACCGGTTTCTCGAAAACTTTGGTAATTTGAATGGCCTAGTGTGCGTCCGCTCACCTTCTCCATGTCACTGATGTCCTTTGCCAGCGCCTGGGCTAGGCACGTGTAAGTGGGCGCCACGACTGCCATGCCGAAGTACTCGGACACACAGTTGGAGATCTCCTCAGCCTCATCCTCCTTCGGAGCCCCTCTGAAGTTGACAATGTCTAGACCCTTGCCGAGACAAAGTTCTCGCACCTGGCCGTAGCCAAATCTATTCCCGACCATCTTGTCCGGGACAAGGTCCATACAATACTTCGAGTTGTAGTAGATGATGGCCAACTCCTCGTCGGTGTAGATGCTGCAGTAATCCCAGCTGGGGCATTTTGAATCGTACTGTAACAAGAGATCCTCGGTATACTTTGTTGTTCACGTAGTCCATTTTTTTAAGCTTCCTACAGCACATAACAAAATGGTCTAGTGGATTAGTTACATTTATAAATCAGTTTGTTCATAGCCAGTTTTAATGAAAATGCGCGTCAAATTACAACTACGCTACGCGGAACTGCTTACGATGTCGAAAAGCATGCGCAAGCCGTGACTTGGCCTATGCCGCGACAATCGACGTTTCCGGCGAACAAAGCCACATCTGCAGAGCGCCCGGTAACAAAGGCACACCTGTGGAGCGCCCGGTGACAAAGATGCATCTGTGTAGATCTCTAATGGCACCGTCAAAATAATGTAATTTTTAGAGGGAAAAGCTAAAATTTTGAGGAACTTCCTTGGATTGATTTTTTTTTTACTCGTTTTCCAAGAAGAGTCCCTAAAACCTGAAACGAGATCGGAGGAGTTTTTCCAAAAAGTGGAAGTTCCTCAAAGTTTTCCGCATTTCCTCAAAAAATGATACATACATTATTGTTGTCATTGTGGGAGACGACTCTCCACCGGGTGCTCTGCAGATGTATACTGTAGACATTCATCTGATACTAAGGGGGCTGGCAACGGACCCTCCGTTAGAGCATACTTCAGAACACTGTTAGTGAATTTCGTCATTTCACGATATTTATCTGTCACGAATAGTTCGTAATTGAAATTAACGAGTATTATTCGTCAATTTCGGTTCCGAGCTGTTCGTGGCGGTACAAAACAAACTATTTGTAACATAACAATTTGATCGTGTCAATAGATCAGGATGTTAGAGTGTTGTTTTTAAAAATCCTTCTGTCCAGGATCGTTCTTTTAGGACATCAACCGAGCTACAATCACTGTTCGTCATTTTACTAATGTATTCGGTACCGTAAAACAGGCTAATATGGACCATACGGGGTAATGTGGACCACCCTCTATTTCCTATGTCCCGCTTCCGCTTCGCGACGCGCTGGCAGCCAGGGCGGCCGTCGGCTCCGCCGACCCCCGACGGCGCGCTTTCATCGGCTCGGGAAAGCGTAGTTTTGATCGCAGAACTACGCGGAACAGACCACGCCATGGGGAAAACACTCAGGAATCCGATGGGCTGCACGTCGTCCTGGCAAGATGAAAAGTTTACGAGCCTTTCGGTTTCCCGGTTAGAAAAGCGGGTCGTTAGGCTTGACAATGTACGAATGCGTTCAGCCCCGGAACAGTGAAGCATATACAGCACCGGTGGTGCACGTGCTTCTTTACTTCACGGGCACATTCAGGTGGCTTTCAAAACAGCTCACACGGGCAGCTGCTGCGTCCACGGTACTTACTGCTGCTACCTGAAAATCAAAACAGATCAGCATTAGCGTTGCTCTCCTTACAAGACACTTGTTCCTTTTCCCATGGGGAACCCCGCTCCGGGCGCGTGGTGGCTGAAGAAGAAGGCAAGAAGCACAAAAGCGAGGAGTGAGGGAGCGCCGCGCCGCAGCTTTGCGCTCCCCCACTCTCTGCTTTTGACCTTCTTGCCTTCTTCTTTAGCCGCCGCACGCCCGGAGCGGGGTACTCTTTTGCAAGTGGTCCGTAATCTGAAACCAGACATCAAACCGACTGCGCCCGCTTCCGCTAAATTAAAGCAATGGAGACTGGCGCGTCAGGACTTACGAGTCCAACGCCGTCCTCCTGGTTGTCGTACGGCATCGTTTGTCGTCTGCGGAACTCGTTTGAAAGTTTCAGCAGCGTGGGAGACTCCTATACCTCCTCGTCACTTCCGAGGGGGCACCAACTTCGAGTATTCAAGATTTATGAGGGAATTAATACCTTCAATATTCAGTGAATATTCAGTGAATATTCAGTAATACTCACTATTTGAGTGTATTCACAGTACACGGAATTTTGAAGTTTGTGCCCCCTCAGCTGTCACAAAGGGGTAGTCTAATGTTTCTTTTCGATTTTCTTCGATCGACCAACGCCACCCGAGTTCGAATTCTTCATCAAAAAGTATACGTGTTCTTCCTTTTTGTTTGAAGTGATTTCACTCGCCTCTTGTATAAGACCCGATAGATTTCAACAAAGTAGTTGTAATGCTAGAAATCTTCAAATCCGCAGTGTTTGTCTGATTCTCATGAACGGTTCGGTGATTTGTTCAGTTTTTGAAAAAGACGAAGAAAAATGTACTGAACGAGCTTGGCAATTTGCCTACATGCCAGGGGACACAAAAGTGTTTTTGAGGCCCCAATTTGGGTGTTTTCTTTAAGTGTGTAGACAGCTAGTGTGGCCCAAAGCCCATACTTACGACTTGCTTGGATGTCTACGTGTCTGAAGAAGCCCACACAATGAAATCCAGGCTTCGAGGGAAGGTTGCCTCCCAGAGTTCACGTATGTAGTGATATTTTCAAAAATCTGACAAAATGTGACACAATAGCGATGGCGTCAGCCCGCTTGTATAGCTTTCAAGTCAACCTTATTTTTGGATGAAGAATCCGAATCGTGGTGGGTTGGTCGATCAGAGAAAAGAAAAAAAATGGACCACCCTAAAGTGACACGGCCACGGGTACTACTATCGTAATGAAAATATCAGGGTTTTATGTTAATGTTTGTCTTAAGACAATCTGGTTTTACAGTAGTGTCCTCTTTAAAGTTCGCTAACGCACAGTTTTTAGATGCCTCTACAAAATTTTAGGATAAAACGTTGCGCTGCCTTACCACTGTGAGCGTGACCGCAAGGAGGATGAGCTTCAGGGCCATGTTGATCGTCTTGTAAGAGACAGTACTTGCGCTTTGGTAGCGCTGAGCAGGCTTATATATGTGCCGAACTTCAAGCCATTGCAACATCGTACAGGACCTATCAGATAAATCTTGGAACTCGTTTCTTCATCTCCCTATTACTCACATCCTGCGAGATAAGTAAGACGACAGTTTAAGGCGTAATTGCGTTGCAAATTAAACTCAAATGATAGTACTTTGTTGAAGATTGCATCTTGAGAGAGCACTTCACCGAGGTGGGAAGAAAACAAACAGCGAATTTGGTAAATGTATTTGTAGTAGATTGCATTCTGAAAAAGCTTTTCACTCAAGTGGAAAAAACCACTCCAACAACGCCGACCGGTGTTTGCAAGCGCAGATGTACGTTCTTCCAACACAGCTTAATCAGAAAAAGCCTGTGGAGGTCCTCTTACCGCCAGAGTGTCTAATTCCGAATCAGCGGCTTAAATCCGGACAATGCGACAGCGACAAACCTCCAGTGGTCAAGCTCTGGGTGGCAAACTATGCATGTAAAGGTTCAAAACAGTAATTGATTTGTTTCCGGGGAGCTTCAGAAATGCACTGGCTTGAGGAGTGCCCGTTCTCCTCCTATTCACTGGACGCAGTATGCCCGTAACAGCCTTCCCTTTTAGAAGCACTGCTTTCCATAATGCTGCATCAATTATATTCAACCTCAGTGACTTAAAGCAATCACATTTTTTTCCCAGGTTGACCTTGGCTACAACACACTGGTGTCCTCCCACCTCAGGTTTACCAAAAGCCAAGCATCAAGAAGAGAAAGAGAATTGTTCCAATTAAAGGTTAGTCAATTCTTTTATAACTAGTTTGAATTAAAATGTTTCAGAAATCGTTGTCTTCCATCATTGCTATTGCAGAGACAGTGTTCAGGAAGCACCCAAAGTTTACCTGTAGTTCACATGGCCAAAGAATTAACAACTACATTGCCAAGCTGTCCCTACCTTCTAGGAGGTCACCTAATGAAGTGAGCCAGTTTAATCTTTTTTTTAATAAGGGGTTAAGGGTATTTTCTTTACTTATTGTTTTCGTATTACAGCAAGAATTAGAGGACGATACCGATGAAGATTGTTCTTAGGTTGTGATATGACTTTCATAATTGGAGTATGTATTACTTTTTTAACTGAACAGTATACTTTTGTTCATAAATGTATTCTTTTGTTTATACTGACTTTGTACCTGACAGCTGTTTTGAGTTGGTGCCTATTGATAATTATACATCATTTCTTTCTTTATTACTTGGGTTTCGAACACTCTTTTATTGCACCTTTTATTATCTTTGATTCTCAGAATAACAACATAACACACATCAGATTATTAACAGTGTTTTAAAACTTCAAAAGACACTTCTAAGAGATGAGTTGAAACACTGTAAGATGAACAAGCGAGCTACAATACTTAACCACCTTAAGTCACTTTCAAGTATACTTTAGCTACACTTTTACATGGCTAATGTTCACAGCATTAAGTATTTCGCACGGCTGTTTTCAAAAGTGTATCAGTGCTAATCTGCTATACTTAAAGTAAACTTTAGATATACTTTTTGTATACATGGTACACTTAAAGTATACAAAATGTATACATACCAAACCACTTCCAAGTATACTTTTTTCCATGAGGGTAGTGTCTCAGCGCTGAGAGATCCAAACGGACGAAATTTTAGTTCAAACGACTCTTCTTTCACGATTTACCTCTAAGGAGACCATCAGATATTTTCTAAAATTAATGTATTTAATATATTTAGTTTTGGGCCACTTTTGTGAGAGAAACTCTCTAGCGACCCAACGGTGAGAGAGATAAACGGACGACATTTTAGGTCTAAGAGTTTTACTTTCACGAGTAACCCCTTGGGAATCAATAAAATAAAAAATAAAAAACCCTTTTTCGACTAATCTTGTTTTTCTTTGTTACCCTTCTTCACCCCCTTTGGGGATGGTTAACAGGATTTGCACCAACCGTTCTGTTTCGTTGTCCAGGAGTGACAACAATAATACCCTGAAAATTTCATACCGCTAGCTCACGTCCTTCTTGGGAAACGGACAAACGGACGGACAGACTCAGGGGCTGTGGCATAAGCCCGCCGCGGGCGAGGTCAAAGAAAGAGCATTACACATACGTTATGCTCGCTGGTGACGCTGTGTCCCAAGCAACCATCCCGCAGATTAGTACGGTGGCACCTGTGATGACTGTGGCATAACAGATGGCCAAGATGCAGCAGAGGCAAGCCTCGAAGCAGGCATCCTCATCCAGAGAGTCGCGCTCACGGACCAGACCACCCACATCTGGCAAGAGCATACTCAAAAAGGCAACGCTCAAAGAGCCGTTCCCCAGAAAGGAGCAAGTCCCGGGAACGCTCAGCTAGTGTTTCGCGCAAGCAGTCGCGCAGCCGATTCCCTGGAGGTGGCCGTGACGAAACGAAAAGTCAGAGCAGGAGCCCTCAGCGAAAAAGGTCACGCAGTTCTTCAGCCACTCGCACCAAGAGCACGAGCCCGCAGCGCAGCAAAAGCAAGTCCCCCAACCATAAACAAACTGCTGCGAAGCGTGTCGGGGCGAAGAGTGCTTCTAACAAGGAATCTTTTCAGGTGTAAATCTCCAATTTCGTTGGTACTCGGAAAATTTAAAGCTTATTATAGTAGAAGTCGGATGGCACTTGAAATTTTTCCTAAACTTAACATTTACTAGGGGTTTACTTAAGCCTGACACTGTTTTTGCTCCAAATATCCCTCTACCGCTTTAACGGTTCAAAATAGAGCAAAACGGACAAAATTTTGGGCCCATGGCCACTATTTTGACGAGTTACCACATAGAACACTGCTTTACATTTTTCAAAAAACATTTTTTTCGAACACCTTACTCCTACCTTATATAGGGGAAAACTAAATGTCAGGTTTAGGAAAAATTTCAAGTGCCATCCGTTTTCTGCGAATATAACCTTCAAATTTTCCAAGTTTCAACGAAATCGGAGATTTACACCTGAAAAGATTCCCTTGTAAGTCAAGGAGCCGTATCCGTTCACCACAGAAGGGCACAAATTAAGGAGGAAGGGTTTTCACCAGCGCCGATCAGCACAACTAGATCTCGACGCGCAGCGTATGGCGTAAACGGCGAGCCCTGCACACGGCAGAGAACGTGGGCCCGTGCCTATAGTCGTCTAAGGACGCTAGCCACATTAGGACCCCAAAATTCTAAGTGATACGATCAAAATGTACTCTCCTTAATTTTGTGATCTCTAAATTTTGTGTGCACACCTAATTATTGCAATATACTGTTCCTATGTTCTATGTTACCTGATCTGTATTAGTGTTAAGACTGATATGTGTGATTAAAAAATCCTTAGCGCCACGCCGCACCCCACCGCGCCCCGCTGCGCCCGCTGTTGGGAGTAAAAGCTCATCGCCAATCGCCATAAATCATCTGCTTTCACGTTAGCGTTAACGTTTTTTGTTGTGTTTTTTTTCACTTTGGTGAAGCAAAGTGACATCTTGTGCTGAGAATCACCCCCCAGGCCCGTCCTCATTCCCTCCCTTCCAATCCCACTCCAATACCTCCCAATCCCTCCCAATCCCACTTCACTTTTACTCCAATCCCTTCGAATTTTTCAAATCTTTCCCAATCAAAGGATATTTTTGAATCCTTCAGAATATCTTGGGATTCAAACCCGTTAACACGAATTTTTGAAGTTATGGATCCTTCCAGCCTGCCACCAGGGCGTGGCGTGGTCTGCGCCGCAACTCTTAGCGTGGCGTGGAACGGCTCTGTGCTGCTTACGTAGCTCCGACATCGGAGGTAATCCGCTTCTAGGAGACGAATGGAATGAATGTGTTATTGTAGATTGCATTGGCTCTATTTCGGCCAACTTTCTCCAGTCTTATGATAACTTATGAAAATACACCCTCGTGACAGGAGTGTGCTTAGGCTTCCTCTCCCCCCACCCAAACCTGGATTACATTTCTACGGGCTTAGGATAGTATACCCACTGAAAACGTCATTAAAATCCGAAGGGAAAAAGTTTTCTAAGAATGTGTTTTTTGCAGCCTGTTGTTTTTGATTGTTTTCAAAACGGTTAATTTTTGAGCTAGAATGCAAATCTTTAAACTCGACTCGATTTGTCTTCTTATGATACAAAACGACCCTTAAATTCCCAGATCGCTATTTCCATTCATTCTCGATTCATCGTGCAAACAGACCAAGGGGGACGTAACTCCCCAAAATCCTGTGCACTACTGGCCCAGTCAAAGATTGGTGGGTGATTGGAACTGATTAGATGACTGGACAAATGATGGGGATTGACTGAAGGATTGGGACATGACTGGGTGACTGGAAAATGACTGGCAAGGACTGGAATGTGATTGTCTGGCTGGAAAACGTTTGGAAACTGACTGGATGACGTCAAAACTGTAAATTTGCAACAAACGATAGGGAAGAGTATTGCGCTCAGCCTAGCGTGTCTGTATTTGTCATAAATCACCCATCCAAGTCAGATGGGTTGCCGGCTGCTGCCCAGTGTAAGGGTCTGCTCACCCCTACCTTAATTTCTTTCTTTTCCAGTCCTGAAAGGATGAAATTATTTCAAACGGTTCCCCTTCTTCTCTCCTTATGTTCATGTTTTTCTATTTTGAACAAATAATTGCATTGGGTGAGAATATTGTTTACAGCAATGTGATGGCAGGGTAGTCCAAATAATTGAACTTGTGGTTGAAATGTCAGGGGGCACGTTGACCATCGGGTGACATTTTATGACAAAAGCGCAAAAAACTAATCCACAAAAAGTCGGATAATATACCAACAGAATGAAACTTTTTCGGTAAGAGGAGTGATGGGCTTCGCTAATCGCTCAGCCAGTAAACATTCACATTTTGCTCTGGGCGTGCCGTATTCGAAATACAGAGGTCGGTTACACTGCCCCTGTTACACAGTGACCCACCCTTACTTACTTCAGTCAAGGGAGAAATCACTTGGGTTCGTAGAGTACGGGCTTTTTCGTGGTATTTCTCCTGCCATTTCGGTTATTTCTCACCCACTTCGGATTATTTCAGGATATTTCGCGGTATTTAAAGTGGTATTTCGCTACTATCTTACCGACTATTTCACGTC